CAACATAGCGCGCGAAAATGCTAAGAGGGTATGCAAGGTCAGGTCGTGTGCAGGTCATCAGGTGCATGAGGCAGCCAACAAGCTCTGGATACGGGCCACTCAACTCTACGGACTCATCCAAAGGCAGAGCTAAGAGCGAGTGGCGAGTAGGCAGAGGAGTGGCCTAAGGCGAGGAGTACGTGAAGCCAAAGCGCTGAAGGACCTGCTGCACCATGTGTGACTAAGTCAGGGTAATGGTGCGCTGTGCTCTGTCCAGGGTGTTCTGCAAGCCAAGGTAGCTGCGCAGTTCACCCAGGTCTGTGCACGTGTGTCTCTTCTGTAGCTCGAACTTCACGTGGGCGAGTCCAGCAGTGTCAGCAGTGGCAAAGACCAAGTCGTCGACGTACACGAGGATGTAGAACGGCGGCAAAGAAGTGTCGGTGCGTAGAAACAGCGACGGGTCAGCAGTAGAAGGAGCAAACCCAAGAGCCGCAAGTGTAATCCTCAGTGTGTCCTGCCACTCACGCTGTGCCTGGCATAGACCGTAGACTGGTCACCGGGGGCTCCACTGGGTGCCAGGAGGAAAAGTCCCAGTGAAGCTAGGTGGGCAGCACAGCCAGATCTCCTCGTGTAGGCTACCTTGCAAGAAAGCAGTGCTGAAGTCAAGAGAGTGAAGCTCGTAGTCGCGCTGAGCGGCTATGTGCAGCAGCACCCGAAGAGTGGTCATCTTCGGGGTGGGAGAAAAGGTCTGAAAGTAGTCAACTCCCTGCCGCTGACTGAAGCCACGAGCCACATACCGCGCCTTGAAGACAGGTGGAGAACCTGGCGGCCGCTTCACCCTGAAGATCCACACGCCACTGTTGATGTTTGCCCCAGGCGAGGGAACCTCGTTAACGTAGGTGCCTTTGGACTTCTAGGAAGCCATCTCTGCGTCCATAGCTTCCTGCCACTGAGAGGAGTAGGGACCCTCTACCGCCTCTGCGTAAGAGCGCGGAGTCGGGATGTCAAGTGCATCCGGGTCTCCCTCAGGGGTAAGCAGTACGCACACGAGATAAGGTGAAGCAGCAGCCAGACACTGGGACTCCTCCTGCCTGTCCTCAAGGACGTCTGTGCCAAGGGCACACTCACCCCTGACAGACGGAGGACAGACAGACGCAGACTCAGCAACAAGACTAGCAGCGTAGTCTAGACGACAGCGAGCAGCAAAGTCGACGAGCTCAGCAACTAGGGGAGACGCAGCAGTGGACTCAAAGGAAGGGTCAGTGACGACAGTAGCAAGGAGACGCGTGACAGTAGGACTGGCAGCACGAAGAGAGTCCGACTCCGGGTCGGCAAGAGCAGGAAGAGAGGACTCAGGAGGAGAAGGCAAAGGGAGATGCAGAGGAGCAGTGGACGGATGCAGAGACATCCGGTGCATGCTTGGGACAGGAGGAGGACGCTGACGCGAACCGCGACCACTAGTGCGAGCAGCACGGACAGGCGACGCAGGGCGAGACGCAGGCTCACGACGCTTCGCAAGACCTCCAGTAGGACCAGTGTAGAGAGAAGGAGCAGGCAGTGGGGAGGCCGGCTATAACTGTAACCGGGACGGGACAGGCTGTGGACACTCTAAGGGAGGAGGAGGACCAGTGGAAGGCGGGAGACCAAGAAAATGCTGAAGGAGCGGAACCAAGTACGGCCGAGGCCGCGCGGCGACTCCAGACACAGCAGTGACAGCTCCAGCACCCCTAGCGGTAGCACCAGCGCCAACAGCACCTCCAGCTCCAGTACCTCCAGCAGCACCAGTAGCACCCCCAGAAGGACCGCCTCCAGGACCAACAGCAGGAGCCTCAGCGCCAACACCTTCAGCAGCACCAGCTCCAGTCGTATCCGCAGGCCCAGCAGCTCCAGTACTCCCAGTATGAGCACCTCCGGGACTTGCGGCACCAGCACCCTCAGCAGCCGAAGAAGGTGCAGCTCCAGCAGTACACCTCCAGCGCCGGGCAAACCACCCGCGCAGCTTGTGTGGAGAGGGTGGCTCCCGCCGAGACGAGGCACCCGGAGAACCTCCAGGCCCAGTACCGCCAGACACCACACGAGCAGGCCCAGCGCCCGCAGGCACCTCACCCCCAGGCTCAGCAGCTCCAGACGTGGCACCCCCAGGCTCAGCAGCTCCAAACATAGCACCCCCAGGCTCAGCACCCCCAGGCGCAGCACCTCGAGGCTCATCACCCCCAGGCTCAGCACCCCTAGTCTCAGCACCCCCAGGCTCAGCACCCCCAGCAGTACCACCCGTAGGCCCAGCACCCCTAGGCGTAGCACCCATACGCTTAGCACCCCCAGGGTCCGCACCCCCAGGCTCAGCACCCCCAGCAGCACCAGAGTCACCAGTAACCTTGACAGGCTCGACTGCGTCTACTTGGGACACACCTGAAGGGGCAGGACCCTGAGGGGGGAGGGGGTCTACCGGGGGGGGACCTGGCACAAGGAAGAGCGGTGGCGGGGGGAGGGACGGAGTGTGGTAGGGGAAGAGGTGGTAGTAGGGGACCGACTCGTCAAACGTGACGTCCTGGGAGGACACAACACGGCGAGAGGTGGGGTGGTAGAACTGCCACCCTGGCGTGTCAGGGGGGTGGCCAAGGAAGATGCAAGGAGCAGCACGAGGGGACAGCTTGTCCGCAGACAAGTCACAGACAAACGCCCGAGATCCCCAGACACGGAACGCAGACGCATCGCCAACCTTCCCTGTCCACAACAAAGCTGGGGAGGCCTCCGGCATGGAGACCCTGGGGTAAAGGTTGATCTGATGCGCCGCGTACCGAACCGCAAACGGCCACAGAAAATGGGGGGCAGCCGCATGCATCATGGACGTACGGGCGATGTCCATGACCATGCTAATGCGGCGCTCAGCAATCCCATTTTGCTGTGGAGTGTCCAGAAGCGTAAAGGTCTGGCGAATGCCTCGTGCTAGACAGTAGGCTCGCACAAGGCCAGAGGAGAACTCTCCGCCTCTGTCGGAGTGCAGACGCAGAACAGGAAAGTCCGAGCCAAAGCGCTGCTGGAGCTGGAGATGAGCTGCGCGGATCCAGTCGACCAACACCTCAGTGACATCACCCTTGCTGCGCAAGGGGAAGACTGTGGTGTAACGCGAGTAGTCGTCAACCACCAGCAAGAAGTAGCGCTCATGACCCTGTCCACAAACGCGGGCCGGGCCCCACACGTCCATGTGAAGCGTCTGCAGCGGGGCCTCTGTCGGAGGAAACTGGGAGGAGTGAGGGGCAACCCGCAGCCGCCCCTCGACACAGGGGACGCCGGTAGGGCCCGGCCACGGAGGAAGGGGAGGGAGGGACCGGGGAACACCAGAGACAAGGACACGGGAGGCCATGCCTCGGAGACAAAGCAGGGAGGGTTGACCAAGGCGGTGGTGCCACAGGAGAGTCTCGTGAGACAAGAGGCGACACGAGCAGGGGGCAGACTCAGGACCAGACCTGGACGCTGCAGCAAACACCTGACCCGACGTAGCTACCTGACCAGACGCAGTGACAGGAGGGGACTCAGTGGTCACTGTGTACAGGCTTGACCGCGGCCGACGTTTAAACGTGGCCAGGTGTCGGCTTGTGCGAGCGTCCGTGCAGTGGGTCACCCGCTGACTCGCAGGAGTGAACTGGTGAACCCCGGCATCGTGTAGGTCAGCACCACTCACCAAGTTCGTAAAGAACGAGGGGAGGTAAAGACTAGACAAGGTGCCAGAGGGGGCCGCCGGACACACGAGGACAGTAGAGAAGTGAGAAAGGATAGGACCCCCAGAGGGGTCCGCCAGAGAGACTGCAATTGGCCAACCAAGCGGCGTGAGTGTGGTGCTGTCTCGAAAGAAGGAGCGAGAAGCCCCTGAGTCAAGGGTGAAAGTGAGGGAGGCCGAAGCCGGCGCGGTACCTGAGAGCGCAGACTCAACAGCACCTGAGGAAGCAAACGCACTGGCACCTAAAGTAGCAGCCTCGCTAGCACCCAGAGCATCAGCCTCACCAGTGCCTAGAGCAGCAGTCTCAATGCCCGGGTTGGGCGGAAAACACCGGTAACAGTCACCCTCATCACTATTAGTCACAGCATACATGGCAGCAAGAATAGCATCAAAGTCAAGGTCAAAGATAGCTACTCCCGCCCTAGACAGCTCACCCCAGCGGGGGATCTCCCCTAGATAACTGGTGACACCAAGCGTCCGTCAAGCGGCCAAAGCAGCGCTGGGTGGGGTGCGCACCCCCACAGTGCTCACCCGCGCGGTCGCCGGTGCGTAAGACGTAGGTGCACGGACCAGTAAACCCACCCCGGTGATGTGCAGCGTACCACTCACGGAGCTGCTGAGGGGGGGGGATGTCCCAAGTGCGCTGCTCCTGCTGCTGGCGCGGACCACCAAGGGAGCCGGCCCGCTGCGTAGCGCCACCCCGACCAGCTCCTCCTCCGCCACCGCCTCCTCCACCGCCGCCACCTCCGCTACCTCCGCTCCCACCGCCACCGCCGCCGCCGCCTCCGCCTCCACTGCCGCCACCGACTCCTCCACCAATGCCACCACTCCCACCGTCACCCCCACTCCCTCCACCGCCTCCACCGCCTCCACCGCCGCCTCCACCGCCCCCGCTAGCTCCTCCAGCGCCCCTGCCCCCCTTGCCCTTGCCAGAGCAGCGTCTCCCGCTAGGGGTAGACGCCGCACCGACCGACTCAAGACCAACAAGGTCGTCCACAGCAGCAGAGGTGACAGAGGGCAAAAGGGGGGAGGGGGAACACCCCTCAAAGATGGGGGTGCGAGGGTCACAACGAGTGACTATGCTCTTCTCTGCTGCTAGGAGGGCCTTCTCGAGGAGGTCAACGGTGAGAGTGGTGGGGCAAACTGAGAGGAAGTGGTCCCGGACTACGCGAAGAGAGTCAGGGAGCCGGGTGACTATGTAGTAGAGGGTGATATACATGGGGGGGGGGGGGGGGGGTTCTTGGCGCAGAACTCAGCATGAAGCGTAGCGCGGTAGCGAGTGTCACTAGTGCGGAGGTGCGTAATGAGGTCAGCGACTGTGGGAAAGGCAGCAAGGTCAAGGAAGAGGTACGGTAGCATGAGGCGGCTCAGTGCAGCAGTGGCAGGGGAGGAGTAGCATGCAACTACAATGTCGTACAAGGTCTGAGCACTCTTATACTGGCTAAAGTGCGCGCGCTCAGCGGTAGGCAAGTGGCGACGCACAGCAAGACGTGCAGCAGCATCGCGTGTGGCCCACTGTGAGCAAACAGTGGCATCACCATCAGCAGCAGGGGCAGGAGAGGCACCAGAGGTGAGGTCAAAGAGGGAGAGACCGTCCGCCCTATCGCACTGTAGGAAAAGCTGCAGGTCATCTATCCAGACGTCAAAGTCAATGGCCTGACCCTCACCGTCAAAAGCGAGGACACTAGGGGTAGCCATGACAGCAGTAGTCTAGTAGCGCGAACAGTGGGGTAAGGGCAGTGCAGAGGTAGAGGCGCTGCTCTTACCAGACAAGGGCGGCTCGGGCGGCTCGGCGGTGACTACAGCTCGGGCGGCTCGGCGACTCGGGGAGTCGGGCGGCTGGGGCGAGGAGGGGCGGGGAGGGGCGGGGAGGGGCGGTGAGGGGCGGGGAGGGGCGGGGAGGGGCGGGGAGGGGCGGGGAGGGGCAGTGAGGGGCAGGGAGGAGCAGGAAGGGGCAGGGAGGGGCAGGGAGGGGCGGGGAGGGGCGGTGAGGGGCAGGGAGGAGCAGGAAGGGGCAGGGAGGGGCAGGGAGGGGCGGGGAGGGGCAAGGAGGGGCAAGGAGGGGCGGGGAGGGGCGGGGAGGGGTGGAGAGGGGCAGGGAGGGGCAGGGAGGGGCGGGGAGGGGCGGGGAGGGGCGGGGAGGGGCAGGGAGGGGCAGGGAGGGGCAGGGAGGGGCAAGGAGGGGCAGGGAGGGGCGAGGAGGGGCGGGGAGGGGCCGGGAGACTTCTGAGTCGAGAGGTGAGGGGCAGGATCGATGGGGAGTGGCGGAGAAGGACAGCCTACCAAGTGATCTACATCTGGTTGGTGCACACGCAGCGTGAGTCCGGGAAGAAATTCCAAAGCTGGCAACCTAACGGTGCAGCTGAGTTTTGCAGCCAGGAATTGGAAACTTTTCTTGCTAAAGAGGGCATCCTGCACCACAATTCACTCCCCTGCGCACAGCTACAGCAAGATGTCCCTGAACATACCAACCGCACGCTCATGACAAAGGTGCGCGCAACCGCACGCTCATGACGAAGGTGCGCACACTGTTGAAGCAATCCGGACTTCCTGCCAAGTACTTGACCGACGCGATCCATCACGTCGTGGGACTGCACAACTTCCTCTCCTTCACGGCAAATACGGGGAACCTCTCACCTCATGTAAACTGGACGGGAAACTCTCTATTCTCAGCTCGATCCTAGATCCCCACACTTGGTAATCTGAGCCTGTTTGCATGCGAAGTTTTTCGACTGCTAAATCCTATCTTTCAAATCCGCGGGGGCGACAACGGAAAGCGCTGATTTTGGGTACGTAAACTAGTTCCGCGCTATTTTCTAACGTCCCCCTCGAACTGGTTTTCGAACACTCCTGAGGTCCAGTGGCAAAACAGTTGGAATTTTGACCGTCAGATCGATTCGAATCTTAATGGCCCTGAGAATTTCGCCCAAAAAGGTTAGAAATGGGAGCGTCGGATCGAATTTCTTCTCAATGGCCGACATCGGACGCGAATTTCAGCTAAGGGAGAATTGCGCGACCAACAGAAAAAGCGCTCACTATTTCTACATTTGATTCGACTCGCAGTGAGTGGACGAGCGCCTAAAAATCAATTATTTTCGTCGCACATCTTCCTGTAAAATCGCCAAATGGAGGACAATGGTGATAATTACGAACGAAAAATTACGGAGTTACACACCGGCCTGGACAAGACGCGAGTGGCACTCCAGCGAATAGAGGAGCTTCTTGCGAACCAGTCAGCAGCTGCCACAATAGCAGCGAACGTAGTAGCGAATGTAGCAGTGACGGCAGTAGCAGCACCGGCAATACCGACACTTCACTCAGCAGCAGCGGCAGCAGCTACAGTGAATCTTGAGGCGGCACGTCCAAGGCTACCGGAAACGTTCAATCTGAATGCGAGAGACACCGACGTCCGTCGATTCATTGTGACCCTTGAAATTTACTTCGAGTCCGTTGGCTGTACGACCCCGACACACGATGCAATGCAGATTCAGCTCGCAGCGACACTGTTACCAGGCCCGGCGCTCAAGTGGATTTACAATAGCAACGAGGTCCGAGGCAATCAACTCCAGCTACATGGCGCGGCAGCATATTCATCTGCATAAACAGTTTGGCAATGTAGCACAGTGCACGCAGGAGATGGAGAGCCTCTTCAACCGAATAACGGACCTAGCCGAAGGGGAAAAAATCCAAACGTATACTGAGGGGCTAAAGATGGAAGTCTGCCGACAGGTGATTGCCACGAACTACAACAACTACCGCGACTTGGTGTGTGCAGCAGAGAGATTCGATGCGTTGACTCAAGGTCAACCCGAAACACGACGACGTGTGCCGAACAGATCATTCGGCACGGAGCGATCGGCACCACCCACGACCGCCGACCCGATGGATATCTACAAGATCGACGCAAAGCAGCGAAAAACAAAATATGAGAACTGCAAATTTTGCGGCGCAGCAAGACATCGACTCTTGGCGTGTTGGAAATTGAAAAAGATACGAGCGGAGCTGCAGGGCAACAATAGTGCGGCACCCCCGAAGTCAAAAGACATGGCGACTTCAGAGCGGGCGAAAAAAGGAGGACATGGTGGCGCGAATTTGAAACGCCACGACCGACCGGCAACAGGAGAAATCGCCGAGACAAATGGAGGCTCCGCGAAACCAGACTCTGCACCAACCGGGAAACTCCAGCCGAACACCCCCGAGAGTAAGAATATTTCCTCTCAAGGTTTTCAAGAATTTGAAAAATTCAGGGGAGATTTCAAGGCCAAGAAAAAGCCTTCAGACATTATTCAGGCATCTAAGAAGTTGGACAAACCACTCCGGAGCGTTAAAAGGGGCCGTGCGTTCCAAGGAGTTAATATTCTCTCCCCACAGCATGGTGTTAAGGCTCCCTATTGCCCACAAGTGAAGCCTACACAGCGGCAAAGGCTTAGGGGAAGGTTCCAGGTCAAGACAAAGCTGAATTAGCCTTGGATAAATCCTTCAAACCCAACTCAGTTGAAAAATGATATGTGTCAGAAACAAGTAGTGAACTAGAAACAGTTGGGAGTACAAGTCTGAAACCCTAGAGAAAAGTACCCCCTAAAGGCTAACCCACTGTAGCATACACAGCAAAAACATATATAATGTTTGACACACCCTCATAGGCTAAGTGGGGTAGAGCAAGGGGTCACAGGACCAGTCAAGAGAGACAAAGCAAGCTCAGGGTGGATCACAACGTCACCACACACACTGAGCACAAGCAAAGGGCCACAAGGCCAGTTCACATGTAGAGGCATATATGTAGCACAGGCATCACAGTGATCTATATCTAGCAAGCATGCAGGTATATATAGAGAGATAACAGTGCAGGCAAAGTCTACAACAAGTGAGGAAGAGTGGGCACAAGCCCTAGCAAAGTGCAGAAATGCTGACGATCACCAGACAAAAGTGCCTTGGTGAATATATCAGCAGCGTTGGCCTGAGTGGCCACGTAACGCAGACGAAGCTGACCATGCAGCTGCAACTCTCGAGCCAGAAAGTAACGTAAAGCGATGTGCTTTGTTCTGTGCTCCAATCTATGCTCCTCACACAAGGCAATGGCAGCCATGTTGTCGACGTACAGCACTGGAGGAGAACGAGGCCGCTCTCCCAGGTCGGTCAGCAGGTAGGTGAGCCAGCGTAACTCCTGTGCAGCCATGGCTGTGGCGTAGATCTCATCCTCACAACTGGAGCTGAGAACTAAAGACGAACGCGTAAAACGCCACAAAACTGAGCCAGAGCCAAGGCTGAATGTGTAACCCTGTAGCGACCGCTGAGTATTCTGGTCGTCAACCCAAGAAGCGTCAGAGTGCCCAATGAGAAAAACTGAGCTCCCTCCCCCAAGCACGAGCCTCATGCCCGATGTACTGCACAAGTAGCACAATACCCTCTTTGCATCATCCCAGTGCACCTTTCGGTGCCTATCAGGAGCCACGTAGCGGGCTAGAAAGCCAAGAGGGTACGCTAGGTTAGGACGAGTGCAAGTCCTCAAGTACATGAGGCAGCCAGCTAGCTCTGGGTAAAGGACCACTCGGCTCTACGAACTCATCCGAAGGCAGAGCTGAGAGCTAGTGACCTATAGCCAAAGGAGTGGCCTGTGGTGAGGACTAGGTAAAGCCGAAGCGCTGAAGGACCTGCTGCACCATGTGTGACAGAGTAAGTGTGATGGTGCAGTGTGCTTTGTCCCGGGTGATCTGCAAGCCAAGGTAGCTGCGCAGTTCACCCTGGTCTGTGCACGTGTGTCTCTTCTGCAGCTCCGACTTCACGTGGGCGAGAGCCTCAGTGTCAGCAGTGGCAAAGACCAAGTCGTCGACATACACGAGGATGTAGAACGGCGGCAGTGAAGTGTCGGTGCGCAGAAACAGCGACAGGTCAGCTGTAGAAGGCGCTAACCCAAGTGCCGCAAGAGTAGTCCTCAGTGTGCCGTGCCACTCACGTGGCGCCTGGCGCAGACCGTAGAATGGCCACCGGAGGCTCCATTGGGTACCAGGAGGAAACGACCCAGTGAAGCTAGGAGGGCGGCGCAGCCAGATCTCCTCGTGCAGGCTGCCCTGCAAGAAAGCAGTGCTGAAGTCAAGAGAGTGAAGCTCGTAGTCACGCTGAGCAGCAACGTGCAGTAGCACCCAAAGAGTGGTCATCTTCGGGGTGGGGGAGAAGGTCTAAAATAAGTCTACTCCCTCTTGCTGAATGAAGCCTCGAGCAACGTAACGACCCTTGAAGACAGGCGGAGAACCCGGCGGCCGCTTTACCCTGAAAATCCACATGTCACTGACGATGTTCGCCCAAGGAGGGGGATCCTCGTCGACGTAAGTGCCAGTGGACTTTCAAGATGCCATCTCTGCGTCCATGGCTGACAGCCACTGAGAGGAGTACTCACCCGCGATAGCCTCAGCGTAAGAGCGCGGGGTCGGGATGTCTGGAGCATCCGGGTCTCCCTCAGGGGCAAGCAGCATGGACACGAGATGAGGCGCAGCGGCTGCAAGACACTCAAGGTCCTCCTATTTGTCCTCAAGGACGTCCGTGCCTAGAGCACACTCACCTCCGACGGATGGAGGACACACAGACTTAGACTCAGCAACAAGACTCGCGGTGTAGTATAGACGACAGCGAGCAGCAAAGTCGACAAGCTCAGCAACTAGGGCAGACACAGCAGCAGACTCAAAGGGAGGGTCAGTGACAGCAGTGGCCAGGAGACGCGTGATAGTAGGACTCGTAGCATGAAGAGAGTCAGACTCAGGGTGAGCAAGAACAGGAAGAGAGGACGCAGGAGGAGACGGCAGAGGGACACGCTGTGGAGCAGTGGAAGGACGTAGAGTCATATAGTGTGTGCCAGGGACACGTGGAGGACGCTCACGCGGAACACGGCAACCAGTGCGAGCAGCATGAAAAGGTGACACAGGATGAGACACAGGCGACACAGGACGAGACTCAGGCTCACGACGCTTTGTAAGACCGCCTATCGGACCAGTGTAGGGAGAAGGACCAGGAAGTGGCGAGGCAGACGGTAGCTGTGACTGCGACTGGACAGACGGAGGACACTCTAAGGAGGGAGGAGGACTAGGAGGAGGCGGCTGACCAAGAACCTGCTGAAGGAGCGGAGCAAAGTACGGCCGCGGCCTTGAAGTGCCCCAAGAAGCAGTAGAGACAGCACCGGAACCTTCAGTTGAACCAGCACCAGCAGCACCTCCAGCAGCTCCAGAGCCTCTAGCAGCA